CCCCCGCCCCCCTCTTTTCCACGTAAACTCCGCCATCTCCAAATTTATCCTCCAATCGAAATCCTTCTTCCCTGGTCGGAACTCCATCCCTCCTGCCCCGTTACGAACCCCAAGAAATAAACCACCACCTTGCACCTTCACGCCCCCTCCTCTGCTCCTCCTGCCCGCACCCCATCTCCTTCATAATCACTCCCAGCCACTACAAATGGATCCGCCGAGTTTTAGTAATTCCCTTGCACTATGCTGCTGGTACTTACTAAAACTTGGCGCAACCCGGACGGGTTGGGAGGCCAAATGCAATGACTGGGGGGTGCGTGGAGGAGAAGGGAGAGACAGGGTAGGGAGGAAGGGGTAAGGTGAGGAGAGGTAAGGGTCGAGGGTTGTCGGAAGTCGTAACAAAGGGGATGGGGAGTTGTTGGATGAAAAGAGGTGAGACACCTTGCCAAGAGGTAGAAAATGACAAAATCATGAAGGATGGGGGCGTTCATACATTTATGCATGATTCCATCCCGTAGGCAGATCTCTTATACTACCGACGTGTTACTGCGTCGTTGCAATTTGGAAATCTTATGCGTCTGTACGCAAGGCCCAAGCCTAGGTGGCAACTCATCTTACCTGCAGCTGACACCAAACATTCAAGAAACCAGTGCTTCCTGCTCAGTCTGGTTGCCGAGTGCAATGGGTGCAGACAGTGCGCGGGACTAAATATTCACTTGCGCACATGCGAAAAATGCATAGTTTAAAGATGAATTTGAAACAGGATGCACACTGGCACAGAATATCCCTGTAAAGTTTCATCCTGACTGGTTAATGAAATCACTTCCCGTTACATTTATATGTTCGTATGCGCGACAGAGTTGTACGCTAAAGTTCATTTTGCGCCCAGACTAAAAACAATCTCAAAGGACGTCCTAAACAGCTTACCTGTCCATTTGCGTTTTGTCAACAATATCGAAATCCCATTTTTGACGTGTCCGTTAAAACTAAATTTGAAACTTCTATCTCAAACAGGGGCATCAAACATCTGCGAGATTTCAGCTTCCTTTCTGCTCTGGCTCCCGAAATTGCTTCCTCGCCAAAAAATTTGCATAATTTTTTTACGCTTCCGCATATGAGATCCAGATGCACGAGAATGTTGACTTTAAGCTGTCTGCATGGCACATGAGATAGGAACATCCTTGTCAAATTCAAGCTTCCTAGCTTCTGCTGTTCCTAAGTTGAATCCACATACCCATCCACACATACATACATACATACTTACACGCACAAATAAGCAAACACTATGCGTTTTTGCGCCTATGCAGAAAGGCATAGCAGGAGCACAGTGGGCGACTGAATCGAGCGGGATTTCAATAACTGCCGTGCGTTTGACCCAGAGCAGCAAAAGCAGTGCACTGAGATGTCCAGCATTCGCCCTCTGTGAAACACCGAGGCGGCAGCCGAAGCGGCAGCAAATGCAACGCTTCCCTCTGCTTTGCAGCAAGCCGACGATGCCAGCAGTTTACCGCCGAAACGAATGAACGCGAGACGGAAATCAGAGCCCCCAGTTGCTCCTGGCCGACAATCAGCTGCGAACGCAGGCAACGCGCGCGCGCCCGACAAAAGTGACGACGACCGAAACTCGACACCAGAACCTGCCTGCTATGTAACACAGACCACGTGCGCACCAATCCCCTCCCCCCCCCCTTAGGGCCGCCGAGCTTTCGAACACCACCACCGCCCGCTCAGACGAACGGTGATGCAGCATTCACGGAAGCTACCACAGAGAGAGAGAGAGAGAGAAGGTGTCCCCCTCCCACATCAAGATGATGATGATGACTTATCGACCTGGGGAACGCATGGGCGAGCAGACACGCAGCATTACTAATAATTAGTACGAGGCATTGCGCTTGCGCAACCGAGAAACCACACCGGCTCCCCAGCGCCCTCCCCTCTCCCTCTCCAAAAGAG